CTTCCCGTGCTTGCTGTAGACCTGTAAATTCCAGTGAAGCTATGCAAGAGCATGAGCGTTCGTTCAGCCTTGGCAAGAGTCTACAGGCCCTACCAAGACGAAACGTGTAAGGCAGCAGGAACTAGCAGAAGGAACCAGCTAAAGTGCGACCCCCCCCCCAAAGCCGAACAGCGCCCAATTTCGAAACTTACCCTTGACTAGTAGAGCTCTGAAGTACGACAGAAGGATGTGAGTAGGCGTTACTTGTTACATATGTCGCATGAACGACAAACATCAGAAGGAAGAGTACCAGCACAACGCTAACCAGAGATCTCGTGTTCACTCCAACGGAATCATCAGACGAATCAGATGAAGAAGAGGTCTGAAATCGAAATTGAATTGGAAAAGCTCACAAAACATCCTAGCGATTTCCAACAAAATATCCAACAAAACTGAAGAAGCAAAACAGCACAGGACACACACGAAACAAGGGACAACGATCAAGTTGCGTTCATACTTTACGAAGGAAAATCCACGACTCAGGACAAAAGGTGACGAAGGAGGTATAGATATCCATTGGGAAAGTGCGCAGTTTGGATAATCATCGAAAAGGACTAAACGGGAATCTACTGGCTTTTTTTTAAACGCGTTCCCTCGGGCCGCGGATTTTTCAAAACGCAGTAAGCTAAAGCAATCATTACCCATCTTTGCCCTTGTCCTCGATTCTCTGGAGTCTTAAGTCTCCCAACCAGGTTCTATGCATTCACAGAATATGAGGATAGCTTTAAGAAGCCGCTTCTGTCAGTTGGCAAAAACACCGCTTCTGTCAGTTGGCAAAAATAAAGCAGTATATGCAACACCTTGTGAACTGCATTCATACTTGCGACAATATTTCGAGCGACTAGGAAAATATAGATATGATCCAGCGTATTGAGCATTTTGAGCGTCTGCATTTTGAATGTTCACCAGTGTTCTGGGCGTTTTCAGAGACTAGGAGAACACTGATATAGGTATCGATTTAGCGTTTTGACCGCCCTCCAGCAGTTCAGTTCGATGAACAAAAATATTTATACAATTTCAATCGCTCAATCCCTCAAAATGCTAGTAGACGCTCATAACTGGCTGGCGCTTAGAACGCCGGGTGACACTCAAAAAGATCAATCTATACCTATGCTTTCCCCAGTCACTGAAAACGCTGGCGTACGCTGAAACACTAACGCAAGGTATAAAAGCACACTTATATTCCCGACAAATAACACTTAGAAACATAAAAGTAACAAGAAACATAAAAGTAACACCATGCCGAACAATGACGATGCACACGACGGCACTTACACCCACAACATGCACATCCTGCTGTACCTTTCCTTTCTTGGTGACTTTGTCGTACATCTGACGATCCGAATCGGATTTCGCCGACGACTTTTCATCATCACGTAGATATCTAAAAAGAGTAACTTAGTTGCCTCCAGTCCCCCACTTACCCACTTAAACATTTAGGTCGACAAAAAGAGTTACTCGGTTGGATAACTAGTTACAATACTGTCGCGCTGTAAGCTAGGGATAACCTGTTTACCTGCCCACTAAAAAAAGTGGTATAGTCTTGTTTGCTGCAGAAGAAGGGCCGTGTCAGTGAGGCTGAGTTTGGAGCGCTGCCAGTCCGTTTTATCGAAGCGGGTAAGCGACAACAAATGGTGGAAAACGACTTGTATTTTTCAGTGTCGCTTGCAGAAAGGAAGAAAAAAAATGGGTGGACACTACTTCATACCCATTCCCCCCTTGCCACGCCTCGATCCGCAATGAAAAAGACTTTAGGATGAATGCCGAAATTACGCAATGGGGTTTCGCATCGCATATCGGTTCATTCTCAAGTAAGTGGATACGTTGAGCCGTTCAAGATCTTTTTTATTTTGGTCAATGTTTCAGCCTCCTCGACTTCGTCAGAGCCTGAAAGAGGCAAAGCAATTGAGATTGTCCCCTCGAACCCTCTACAAGAATCAAGACACTTAAAGTCCTAAAACCACCGTACGATACGATCGATGTTAAGTGTGAGTTGGCTTACCTTGATCTCAGCCGCGATGACGTGAGATCGACCACCCAAGCTGCAGTACTACTAACAGTGAGCTTCACCTCCACTCCGCGACCTCGACCTCATGTAGGTCAAAAACCGCATAGGTCGGCAAAAGGGCGCGAGTTCAGGGGTTATGGCTACACATTCCTCTTTCAGGTTCATTTGGGGGTCGCGGAGTGGACGTGGAAGCTTACTGTTAGTAGTACCGCAGCTCACGTCATCGCAGCTGAAATCAAGGTGAGCCAGCTCACACTCATAGCTGGAGGCTAGGATAGGCTCACACTTATCGACCGATACCGTTGGGTGATTTGCAAATATCTCGAGATTCTCTCAAGTCTTGAGGAGGCGTTCGAGGGACAATCTCAATTGTTTTGGACTCTTTCAGGCCCTGACGAAGGCGAGGAAGCCGAAACGTTGGCCAATAAATTATAAAAATCTTGGACGGCTCAAACTATCCACCTGCTTGAAGATACAACAATGCCAAGATTAAGAGAAGGTATTTAGATCCTGGTCGGTTCCTCATCTCTATTATGAGACCGAACAAATTTAAAAAAATGACCAAAAAATTAAAGGGGGAATTCTTCAGCAATCGAAATGCAAAGGGAATCGGGGAAATACTGCTGGAGAAGGAAACCAAAACCTTAAAGAAAACACAAAATAGTTACCCAACCCGAGCTTGATGGAAGCAACATCGAAAGGGAGCAGGAAACCCAACAATGTAAACGAACCTGAGGGAAATCAAGAAAGAGAGTGAACGTTCGAAAATAATCGTACTTTTCGAATGTGTACGAGAAGGCGATCCCTGACAATACACACACAGCTGGAGTGAGGGTTAACATGAGACGAACCATCACACCGGCAAAATACACGGCAGACACCGCGTAAAGGATAACTAAACAAGTAATTGTTTAACGCAGCTAGACCTTTCGAAAAAATGGAGTATATCGATTAACTCACTGAAGACACGCTCATCATTAACATTCTTCACACAGTACCACACTCCGACTGGGAATACAGCCGCTGTGATATGTAGATCAAAGAAAAATGATACCCAGGTTGTGGGTTGATGTTCCGAGACTGACGCAATGATTGGGATATGAATCTGTAAAGAGAGAATTCGAGGATTCGCAACATATAATGCACAACTATCACAAACCTTTGCATAGCCAGTATCCCACAGAGAATAGAAACGACCAGAGAATGGAGCAACGTATCCTAGAACAGAAATGATTGTCCACAGGTATGGAAACTTTGTCCATATCACCCTTGCGTTAATCCATCGTCGTGTCGTGTTAGGGCGCGTTCTTAGG